CTTTATTTGCTTATACCTTATAGACAGAATCTTGCCAGACTAAATCTATACTACTGCAACATACACTGTGGATATACTCTGGGATATTCTAAGGAGTGGCTATCCTGAACCTCTTTTGCTTCCCATACTCCTGCTGAGGACTGTATTGTCTTTTGTCTCCTTTCTCCTCCTGGAATGCACCCCCCCTTCCTGATAGCCTTGATCTCTCACATCACCCTCCTCCTTGTAGATACATTCCATCACACAGCTTGAAGTTATGATGATTACAGCATCCCGTGGTCACATGATTGCCATTTGTGACTTCCCTGCCAGCTTCCCACAAGCAAAGTCAACGGGGAAGCCGGCAGGGAAGGTCGCAAGATGTTCCTGTAAGTCACTTGCATTCCCACATTTTTGTCCTGAGGAGCCCAGCTACGGAATACAAAATCCTGGGATCTGTACTCTGTAGCCTGTGCGTGCATGCAGCACCTCCCCGCCCATGATGGCCTCCTGCACACCCTCCCCCACCTGGCAACAGCCAACCCTGGCCTGGCTGTGCTTGCGCGGTGCCATAGCAGCCCCCTATGCACTCTTCCGCACCTGGCAGCAGCCACCTATGGCCCGTCCACACTCACACACACCCTCACCTAGCAGCAGCCACCCCTGGCCGGGCCATGCTTGCATGGCACCATGGCGGCCCCCTGCGCACCTTCCCCCTCCCGGCAGCAGCCACCACCAGCCTCGCTGCACCCAAGCCACAGCAGCCACTTACCCACCTGCCTGCTGGCCTGCTTGCGAGCCGCCTGGGATTTGTGACTTCCTGCTGGCTTCCCTATTGACTTTGCTTGTTGAAAGCCAGGAGGAAGTTGCAAGGAGGTCCTCGCTTAACAACCAGTGATCCTTGGTTAACAACAGCAATGGGGACTGCCGGGATTGCTGTTACTAAGCAATGGGATCTCATGATGTCAGACTTTATGACTGCATCACTTAGCAACAGAAATTCCGGTCCCAATTACCATCATTAAGTGAGAACTACCTGTAAAGCACATAAAAAGACATACCAGATAGATTTTCAAAGCTGGACATTCAAAACTGTTTATTTTCACTACTGTAATATAGCCCATGATTCTATCTGCATAAAATAAGCCATTCACTTTTCTCTATACAGGGATGCATAAGTCTTAGAAAACTGTCTGTCTCATATCAAGCACACAGGAAAACAAGGTTAGATATGTGAAACAGTTTAAGCATGCAGAAACAGCTTGAATTCCATTGTGCAAAATGCATACGTGAAGAAAAGAGGTGTTCCATGGAAAATCTATGTTCGTATTCAGAGTACATGTTTGTGGAACATATAAAAATCACCTTGGGCATTATCAAATATGAGTTCCAATCTGCTCACTGAGTAGATTGACTTTCCAATGAACAGCCAATACTGTTACTATGTACAGTACTTTACATTGTGACTGGTCTCATCTTCCTGTTCCTGATGTCACAAAGGTGCTTTTTTCTTTTTCTGCAAATGGGGAACTCTGTTTTGTAGCAATGAGTGACACTGCAGAAACAGTTGCATTTGCATGTGCCTACCTATGAGATACAGTTTGGTCTAATGGTTAAGGTGCTAGACTAAGATTGGGGAGACCTGAGTTTCAATCTTGCCTTAGGTTCAGAAGCCACCTGGGCCAGTTACTTTCTCTTAGCCCTAGGGAGAAGACAATGGCAAATCACTTCCAAAATTGTTCCCTGGAAAACTGTATGGACTTTCCCACGTAGTCTGCAGGAGTCAAGACTGACTTGAAGGCAAAAAGAAAGAAATATCTGTGTAGCCATTGGAAGGAATGACACTCAACTCCCGGCTGAAGGATAATAAAAGAACTGGCAAAATAGGCCAAATGGATTATAATGGCAGAAATTATCCCACCATGGTGGGCAGGTAATACACTTTTAACTAGCTATCTTTTATTTTTTGACAGAGGAAGGTTTTGTTTTTCTGTACAATACTGAAGTGAGACATCTCTATTCATCTATAGGCCAGGAAGAGCATGTTACATAAAAATATAAGAATAGCCCTGCTTGATGAAGCCAAGATTATCTTAATCCAGCATTTTGTTTTTCACAGTGACCAACCAACAGTATTTACCTCTGCAGCATTTACCTCTGCAGAATCCATGTGATTCTTCTTCACCAAGGCTTATTCTTCTGTATGCTTAGTTCATTTTTTTTCTTTTATTACTGTTTTTACCAATTTGTCTGAAACAGACATTAAAATGACTGGCCTATAATTTTCTGTTTTTGTTTTTTTTTAAATCTGGTGTCATACTAGCTATCTTTCCATCTTCTGGTACGCAACATTCCTGACAACACTATTTTTCTAGATTCAACTGATAAGGAATGTGTAAAATGTCCATAATCTCTCCTCATTCATTGTTTTTAATTTTGTGAACTCAAAGTTCTTATGTATAAGACTATATCTTTTGCATCAGTCTCCCACTGATGAATCTTTAAGCAAAAATAGATCATGCAGACTGAGAACTATCTTATCTAAACCTACAGTACATTAAGCATTGCTCAATATGTGTAACACTGAAAAAAATTCTTATGATCCTATGAGCTCAAATGAAAATAGATATTTAGATATTATATTTGAACTTACTTGGCTGTTTCAGCAGATTGCTCCTGAGGTTTCTGTAAATTTTGTGGACTAGATCTAATTCTTAAGTTAATGTCTTCATCTTTGCTTGATACTTTCTGTTCAGTTCCAAAATTTGAAATGACAAATATTTCTGATTCAAGATGCTCAGTTTGTCCAGTGTCTTGATGGCTACCTCGACTTGCAAAGTCTTTTTTAGTTTTGCAATCTCCATCTCCAAGATTAGAAGGTTCTTTATCTTTGTATGATGATTTGAAAGAAATACCAAATAAACTCCCAAGATACTGGAAAAATCCTTCTTTAGACTGTTTATTGTTATTGTTTGCTTTGCTTTCATGAATCAAACTAGGAAAACTATTTGCTTTCTTTAATTCCTCTTGAGTGGTAGATCTACTTAGGTCTTCTGTAGAGAAATCCTTATTTTTACTGACTGAAATCTGCAAGGAAAGAAACAGATTATTTTATCAATTGTTAAAGAGAAGCTAGATTTTATTGTCTTTATAGGAGGAATTTGTTCTATTTTATTTATTGCATTTGTATCCTATCTTTCCTATGAGAAGCATAAGGTAGCACACATTGAATTCTTCTCATTTTATTGTTCCTAGGAGAGGCTGAGAATTAATGAGGCCATACCACAATTTCCAAAAACGTGAAGATGAGGGTCTTCCCAATCTAAGGGCAGTGCTCTTTCTGCTTCAACACACTGGCTGTCATTAAACATGCTGGAATACACTAATGCACAGTTTTGATGCTAGTGTTTGCTCCTAGCATAAGTGATACTGATTAGATCAGTTTCTGACTCCATAAGCAAGGAAAACTAGCTCTTTTTCTAAAAGTTTACATGAAAAAGGACCTCCCCCATGAGGTCTGCTTTTTCTTTTTTGAAATATATTTTCTTCATATGTAACGGATATAATAGCATTACATACAAATAAACAGTTGCAGCATTAGCAGCTATTTTTAGTTAATACATCTTTTTTTCCCCCCAGGAATGATTAATGTAGTGTTGTGCACATCTGCCAAGCTTCCTCCCATATAAAACCTATTTTTTTTAAAAAAATTCTCTCTCTCTCTCTCTCTTTCTGTCTGCTTACCTATAGGTGATTATTACCTATAGCTTACTATTGCTTAGATATGATGTGTGTATTTCACCAATTCCTCAGACCATTATTCTCTTGTGGAGAGTTTTTTCTTAGAGTATCACACAGTGCTTTTCTTTTTCTCTCACTCCTTGCAGGGAGTTTTCCCTTAGTTCCCTATGGAAAGTCTTTTACGATTACGTAGAATCTAAGGGAAAACTCTACGCAAAGGACTAAGGAAGAAAAATGTATTTATCCCTTGCAGAAAGGTTTTTTTCTTCCTTAGTCCCTTGTGGACACTTTTTCTCATGGACTAAGGGAGCAAAAGCCTCCACAAGGGAAAAGAAATTTCTCCACAAGGGACAGAGATATTTTCCCCCTTTGTTCCTTGAGGAGAGAGTTTTTTCCCCTCCCTTAATCCTGCAGAACCATTCAAGCCCATATAGAACTCTAGAGTTTCAAGGAACCCAATTTGAAAAACCCTGCTTTAGCAGTAACATTTGTTATGAGGTCAGAACAACAAAGGTTGTTCTCATCGAGCTATGGGCTCTTTTTGCAGATCTGACCGATTTTCTGGTGGTGCTAACAGAATTTCTTGGTCTTTCAGATCTTGCCTTGAATTCAACAGTTCCACGTACCTTCCATTTCTCAATAAATGATTCTCCCAGTTAAAAATGTTAGCTGGAAGTGTTTAGGGAATTTTTAAAATAGTCTTTTGCTTTGAAAGAATGAATTATTTTTATTTTCAAATGTTCAGCCAATGCCTTAGAAGATATCAGAGTTATTGAAAATAGAACAATCACAACCTGAGAAATAGAAGGACTGGAGTATTTGTTTACCCATGGAATCATTTTCATTTAGCTAACTGTAGGTTTAATGAATCAATCAACTTTTTTGCCCTACTAACAATTTTGTAATAACAAAAGTGACACTGAATCAACTGGATGGGTGTCCCAACTTCTGTACATGTTATATTCACAGTTTTCTTTGTTTGAATCTATAAAGAACTGCACATAAAAAAATGCATGTGCTTAACTTTCTACTATACAGAGGTTGTTCCAGCTTCTGTTCACTACTCAGTTTGGCTGAAAACATCTAAAGTTTTGTATGTAATGGTCTACATAATGTATGAGTAAGAAATATTTTCAAAATGACTCATATCAGCTGTGTACAAAATTGAAATGAACTGTGTTTTGTTGGACTGATTATTCTGGGATAAACTACTTGTTGTTCCCCAGTTTTGTGAAGTGACAAGGGCTGAAGCCAGAAAACACCGGTTTTCCATCATGACACTCGTATTATGGAACAGCCTTTGTCCAGAATCTAGAGTGGCCCCTTGGTAACAGCCTTCCAGAAGGTACCAAAGGCTAAACTCTTCTGAAGGGGACTGTGCATCATCTGAACCTGGATTTTTAGAATTAATTTATTAGCTTATTGGTATTGTGTATTATTTACACTAGTTTTATTTTGTATGAATCTGTTGGTATTGTAGTGGTTTTATTGTGCTTTATACTGTAAGCCATCATAAGCACATTGTGATTCTGTGACACAAATTCTATACACAAATCAATGATAAACCAAAAGGCATTTCAACTTTTAAGAAATTATACAGTACTATCATTACAAGCATTAAATTATATGTAATGTATAGACAAAATAGAGTACAGACCAGACCCATGTTTCATAGGATTCTACAATGCTTTATTGAAACATGCCACTCCATAGTTCTGTAGCCATGTGTAAGTCTTTCTTATCTCATTATAATATTTGGTTTTGAAAAGCTATAATTGGAGCTGCTGGAATAATATATTTTAATCACGTTTATGCTTGGATCATAAGTCCAATTGCTTACATTTAAGTTTACATTTCATATTTTTAAACTTGTGAAATATTTATTTTACTAAAAACTATGACTAAAAGATACCAAAGTCACCGATCTTCAATTCATCATAAAATGAACACTGTAATGATAATTGACTCTACCTTTAATGTCACTGTTTACAATTTCCACCCTCCCAATCACATATGGATATATATACTAGTATCTCAGAACAACATTTTCTGCATCTGATGAAGCAGACAACAATGCAGGAAAACCTAAACCAAAATAAACTGGTTAGTTTTTAGGAAATTATAAGACACAATCCTGGTTCTCATTATAATAGTAAATAGAAAGACCTTTAACAATTCTGGAAGAGGACTCCTTTCTTTTCTTGGATAAATCACATCTGTAGATTCATCTTCCTTAGTTTCAAAACTGAAAAAAAGAGAGAAAGAAATGTAACCAGTTTGAAAATCTGAATTCATCTGAAGCATTTTTGAAATGCTAGTACTTTTATTTTGCTTGCTTGCTTTCTGTCATCATGCCACAACTTGTGTTTAGACAGCTTTTCTCAACCTGGTCAAAGCACTTCCTTTATCGTCATAATCTTCCAAGTTCATTTCTTTAAACTCCAATATTTTTCTCTCTCTCTTTTTTTTAACATGATTGCTCTTCTGTAATATATTTTCAAAACTGGTCAGTTAACTTGATTTTTAACTTAATATTTACTGTCGGTGCAATCTAGAATTATTGCACAAGTCTATCATTATATTTAAAAATTTCTCCCTAGTCTATACATAACAATAGCTGTAATTGTAACTGCTTTACAAAGTCTGTTATTTATTGATCAAATTTACAATGATTGGGCGGCTGATGTACAATCAAATTACAATTTAATTGTGAATTCCCAATAATTTAATGCTAAATTGGAAGAATTTGAAAATATTTGCATATTATAAGCCATTTATTTTACATTACATGAAATTTAAAGATCTCTTAATTTCATTAAATATAAATTTATAATATATAAATTTAAAATATATAAATTTAGTATAACAAAGATCATTACTAAAAGATCTGTTGGTCTTATAGTCATATATTCAGACCCACAAGAAGTTTGTTCTTGCTCAGTTGAAATGATACTAGCTCAACTAATTTCCAATTTAAATGATTAACAATTTATAATTTAAATAATTGGGAAAGAATTAGTTGAATTAAAAGATTTAATACATTAGAAAGCTTAGATTAATTAACATCATCAACATAAGAGAAAATTGACACAGTTTTGTTCTATCTGGGATCTGTTCTATGTTACATTTCTCAATGTGCAATTTATATTTCAGTAGGCTCGGACCAAAAAGCATTTCTGAGAACAGGGCTGTTATATAACATGCATTATCAAATTCTACTAAAATAAATTTTATGCTGGATTTCAGCTAAGCTCCAGAGTACCTTATCAGACAATTTCTCCAAAAATACATTGTTTTAGAACCAAGATCTTCCGTAAGAAAACAACAACTATCAAGTTGTTTATTCTCAAGCTAAACTTTGCTCAGTTACCATTCAGAAAATAGAAGTAATAAAACTTCAATTACTGACACTAAAATTATATTAGAATTGCAGAAAAGGCAAGTTATTACTATGAACTAGATTTCTGATTATAATATCTCCCAAACTACATTTTAATTGTTCTTAATTTTAGTTATTTATTTATTTAAAAAACTTATATGGCCACCCACCTTAAGAGACATTAACTGTGGGTTCCTCACAGCAGCAGTACAAAACCAAAGCACCATAAAAACAATAAAAGCTAAAACCTGGTACCCAAACCATTTTTCTCCAATGCAGCCACCATCTTCACACTTCCACCTCACCCTATTCCAGTGCTTGGGGGTAGAGCCAGCTCTCTATGGCCTTCTCAAAGATTAAGAGGGTGAAGGCCTACTGGATTTCAAGGGGAAGATGTTACACAGGACAGGGTCTGCTATGGAGAAGGCAAGCTTCCTAGGTCCCACTAGATGGCAGCATTTAAGGGAAGGGAACTGGACTGTGTTTACTGTATTCAATCTGGTGGAATGGGCAGATACCTCAGGGAGAGGTGATCCTGCAAATAACCTGGGCCCATGCTAAGACGATAACCAGCACCTTGAATTGCACATGGAAAAAAAGTGGAAGCCAGGGCAGCCTGTGCAACAAAGTATAACATGGGGAAACCTAGAGATGCCCAACACTGTGAATGCTGCTGCATTCTGGACCTGTTGTAATTTCCAGGTGGTCTTCAAGCCCCCCCCCCCCCCCCCCGTAGAGCATACTGCAGTAGTCCAATCAGGAAGTAAACAAAACTGGGTGACTGCGAGCAAGGTATCCCAGTTTAGAAATGGGCACAATTGGCGAATAAGATGAATCTGTACAAAGCCCCCCAAGTCATGGTTGCCACCTGCTCCTTCAGCAGGAGTCATGAATCTAGGAGGACCCCCAAACTGTGCACCAGGGGAAGAGCTATCCTGTCAAGATCCCAGGATAAAATGTCTTCAGACCCTGAGAGCCCAAAGCCCAAAGTGACTCTGTCTTGCTAGGGTTGAGTCAGATCCAGTTCCTCCCCAACCATACCTTTACAGCCTCCAGGAAGTGGGTCAGCATCACAACAGCATCACTGCCTAAGGCTGGAGATGTTTAACTGGGTATCCCCTTGCCATCAAATGACCTCACTCAGTGGTTTCATGTAGATGTTAAATTGGAGCAGTGAGAGACCTCAGCCCTGAGGCACATCACACCACAGGAGCCTAGGGCTAAACCTCTCTCCCTCCCCAAAGACTGGAACCTTCCACAGAGCAGAACCACCGCAAAACAGTGCTTCTTACTTCCATTCCCTGCAGCTAGTCCAGAAGAATACTGTGGTCAATAGTATTGAAAGCTGTCAAGAGATCCAGGAGGGTCAGGACTGCTGCATCACCTCCATCCCAAACCCTCCAAACGTCATTTGCAAGCACGACCAATGCCGTCTGTGTACTATGCCCTGATTTGAACCCAGACTGAAAAGGGTCCAGATAAGTTGCTTCATTCAAGGCCCTCTGCAACTGAGCTCCAACCACACTCTCAACAATCTTCCCTAAAAAGGGAAGGTTGGAGACTGGGGAAAGCTATCCAAAACTGTTGAGTCCAAGAATCATCTCTTAAGAAGGAAGTGGATATATTCCACACAGACTTCTACATTTCAGTATCTTTAAATGAAAATATGTGCATATTGCACATGCCACATTAATACACACAAACACTTGCATACATACAAACTTAGGCCAGAGTTCAAAATATGAGCAGAGAAAGAATAACTAATTCAAATAAAATTTACAGTGGGGCAAAAAAGTATTTAGTCAGCCACCAATTGTGCAGGTTCTCCCACTTAAAAAGATGA